GGAATATCAATAATTTTCTGTATTATCGATAATTTTCGGTATTATCGACATCACGTTTGTATATTTAAACGTCATATCAAGCTTTTTCAAGCGCTGATTGGAGTTATTTCAGAAGGACAAAAACGCTCAATGTGTTAACTCTGTGGTAAAATCCGTAAATTAAGGTTAGAGCGAGGTACAAAAACTAACATCATTGGACATTGTTTATCTGGTGAGATAGGACGACCATTGTTTCAAATTTGCAGTTGAATAAAATGTTTTGAAACAATTTCCCAGTCAAAAATATCACACATGATTCATTCGGTGCAGTAATCAATGCTAATAGTAATAAGTAATATGCATTTTCAATTCTTAAAGCGGACATTTCACAGGCTACTGATCACTGACCTCGCACTTGATTGAAAATATCACGCACCCGATGAGTCAAAGCTGTTATATCGTGGCTGTTTGGCGTCATTTGAAAACGCAAATTTTGCATATAATAAAATTATAGGGCCTTCGCTCAAAGCGTTGAAGTTCTCCTTGTACAGTATCTGTCAGGTAGTTCGGTTAGAAATAACTGCAGACATAGTCTATTGTTGGCAGGCATAACAGGCACCATGTATTTGCTATTCTGGGCACTTGGCAAGTACACACCCTGAAATTTAGGAAAACCCCCAAAATCTTAAACCCTGCATCGTACCTTTGTTTCTTTGCCTTTTGAATGGATGCTTTCATCTCACTATCCAACTTTTTTAAAAACGAATTCAGTGAATCTTCTGAGTTACTTGACGCACCCTTGTTTGTCCTAGAGCCCTCAGATGCAATCCTTGAATGCCCTTCTATATCAATGCTAATATCACCATGGTTCACCTCATGTACCCCAGAGTCCACACTTTCTTCGCTATCACATTCCTGAGGTCTGTGCAGTTTGGTATCCCTAGATGTCCCTGGAATATCATTATTCAGAGTGCTCTCTCCATTGTCAAATGTTAGTTTGACTGGTATGTTTATAGTTTTAAAAATGTGAATATTGTCATTGGTCCAAAGCTTGTTAACTCTTCTGATCAGCTCAACCTGGAAACAGCACAAAAATAGTGTTAACCCATTAACAATTTTCCCTTGATGGGTAAAATCATCTGTTGTAAGGCTAAGTATTGTAAGATAAAGTAGGGTGCATTAAGTTACATTTAATAGTGGCTTGATGTTTTTTACAAAATATATGCTAAGATTGTCTTTATTTAGACACAAATCATTATAGACACTAGAGCTGTGTAGTTCTGAAAGATTTGGCTGGTCCGGTTATTTTCTTAGCACTGGAAGTCGGCACTGAGCATGCTCAAAAGAATTGGTCGTTTCGTTTTCCACATGTTGCTCTCACTTTTAAGGAAATTTCACTGAGGAAAAATAAAATAAAATTTCATAATAAAATAAGGAATTTCTAAGGAATTTTAAGTATTGTTCAATATTACCACAAAAGGCCCTTACTTGGTCTTTTAAAAAGGTGCTAATTTCCTTTTTGATAATTTTAGTTCAGAAAATATTTATTTCTTTAGTCTCTCCCGTAATCAATGGAGATGTTGTTATTTCATTTAACTTGTTATCAGTGCCGTAGCCAGCTCGATAATTGGGGGGCAGATATTCATATATTTGTGTTCATGCACAGACCATAAAAACAATCGATTTCTAAAGAAATTAATAATGCAGAACACGAATATATGAATATCTGCCCCCCCCCCCCAATTATCGAGCTGGCTACGGCACTGCTTGTTATGAGTTGTTTAATTCGAAGTTAGATCTGTGGTTCATCCACCCCAAAAAGACCAAAACCGAGATGAAATTGACCATTTGCGTAATAGACTAAATTTTGATCTAAGCAAGTCTAGACAAAAATTTCATCACAGCCTGAAAGAGCATCACAAAATTAGTAATATTCCAAAGTTTTGTTGCGGATAATATAGCCTTTCGAAATTTGCAATTTTCAGTCATTTGTATACACTCTTGGTATCATGCATGAATATGCAGTTCTACTGATAGGACGTTAGATTGTAGCAGATAATTACATTATATGGTCTTAAACAATGCTTGTGAATTTTGATATTTGGTTTGCCAGACTTTTATAGATCTTTTGAAATTATTAGAGGGGCACCCCCTGCCCAAGTGACCACCACCGCGATAATCATCGACAAGTATCTTTAAAACTAATTTTTCAGCTAGACATGTGTTTCACAGAAATATATCTGGCTATCATCAGGGAATATACACATGGTTACTTTGAAAAAAATTGTTATGGGCATTGGGGATGCACTTTCTGGGGGCATGACCGAAACACCCCCCAAGGAAGATTTGCGGCATACTTCATCTCAATACTAGCACACCCGCCCTCATTGCCAAATCGCTGTACAGTCCCTGGAATATAGTAAAAGACTTGTTCTAGATAGGAGGGTTTAACAATACGCCATTTTAATTAAATGGCCAGTATTAAAGTGGTCATATAAAGATCATGTAGTGATTTCAAAACAGATCATATTTCACAGTTTGCCACAAATAGAATTTTTAAATATCGAAATTTAACACGTTATTAAACGTCAAAATAAAGCCTTTAGTGTACAAAATACTTACCGTAACGTCGTATTTAATTGCTAATCCTTGAAGTGTATCTGATAACGTCAGGTTATGAGTTACAAGTTTATAATCGGCTGTGTTTTCTGGGTTTCTGGTCGCGCCATAACACGTCTTTGGCCCTTTCCGACTTTGTGATAGTGAACTAGTCTCTTTTATATTTCTACGTTCAGGTTCCATTTGATTTAAATACCAGTTGGTTCAGTAAATTCATGCCGATTAAAATTTTTCCTCAAAAATTTCTTTCTTTCATTTTTCTGATTTCACTAATAAACCGGGTAAAGAACCCACAGGTATTAAACTCGTATGTGTATTACATCATTGGGGAAAAATTCCTGGAAAAAATTATCCGGGTAGAAAATGCCGTGGTTAGGATTTTTTCTCCGATCCGGTCAAAGACCCTGGGGACGAGGTTGCGATCCGGTATGTAATTTTTTGCGCAAATCCAAGATCGTTCAAAGAACAACTTTTACTTTTGTCGGAAAAATAGAAATATCCTAAGTGGCAAAATGTGACATTTCACTAATACTGATCAAGTCTTATTAAGCAAAGCTGTAAATCCAATTTACAATAAACTTATAGAAACGTTGAACATATTTTTAAAATGTGAAGTTTGAAACAGACTTGACACGCAGATGTCGCAGATGTTTAGTTCATAAGTGTGTAATAAAGCTTTTGGACAGATGCATTTTTTATCAATAAAATTAATTATTCTTGCATCTATATATTTATGAGACCGCCTACTACCGTAAAAATAATGAAGAATGAAAACGTATTATAAATTACAGACTTATTTAAAAGCGATTTATACAAATATCCACAAATATTTTGAAATAATTTCGGCTTGCGCCCGCAAACTTATTGGGACCAAAACAAAATGGAGACCTTTCAAGAAAACAATACTATAAACTTAATCTGAAAGTTGCCACAAGCATTTTAAACTGTCAGTCATGTTGATTTATCTATCAGAAAATCTGTAGGATGTTATTGTTGTGTGGGATAATGAAATGCTGTTGATATTAAATGCATAGTGGGACAAAATTATAAATGAAAGGAACAGATGTTTTCGATATAACATATGACTCACTTGTCGATCGATCATATCCACTGACTACAAATCTCTGAAATATAATATTTTGAGAAAATAGGAACTAAGCACTCGACTGGCCACTTATGTGGATTATATAAAGCTTGAAATTTAGACGAAAAATGGCTGGATCTCTTGTGGTTTTCGTTAATTCGCTCACTTTTGTGTTACTTTTCCAAGGAATGGGCAGCTTCTCTGTAGTTTATGCATTTGACAGGCACGAATTGAACAGTAACGACAATCCTGCTGCTTTATCAGACGAGGAATTAAAACATTTCAATCATTTAGGCAAGCTTGGAGAGCAAGGGAAAATAATACATGGAGAAATAGATGAACTGGATTATTTCCCAAATGGAAAGGACTTTTACGAGCATTTTGTCCGCAAGCGTTTGCCACTTGTTATCAGAGGGGCTGCAAGACAATGGCCTGCTTTTGAATATTGGAAAAACGAAACCTATATGAGGTCGAAATATGGTGATGTTTTATTTGAAGTCGACTTCACCAAAACGTACGAACGCAAGCCCCCAATAAAGAAGACAATAACTTTAAACAAATTTTTTGATATTTATAAAACTCAAGAAGTCTATTTGGATAGTGCATTTCCACAAAGTAATTTAACAAAATATATTTCTGTGCCATTTTGTTTACAATGTGAAGAAATAATGTCGAGAATATCCAGTGTTCATTTGTTATACAGTAACGGCGGGACGAGTTATGTACTTCACCAAGACGGATACGAAAATATATTGACGGTTTTGTCGGGGAGGAAGGTCTTATTGATCGCGAATTCATCGTATAGTTCAAGGCTTCATTCAGACGAGTATGTGACGGTCCCTGGGTTGTCCCCTATTGATCCAGAGAAAGTGGACCTCGTTAAGTACCCTGGACTTGCTGGAGTGTCTTTTCATGAGGTGAGGGGAGGGGGATTAGGGGTTATGTGGGGAAAAATGCTTGGCATACACAAGGAAATGTTCAATGCTAATGCACACCTACTGACCTGATTAGTGTGTTTGACACTAGCTGACAACTGGAAAGTTTGTCTCCAATTGCTCGGCTGGGAAAGTTTGTCTCCGATTGCTCGGCTGCCAGCCGGCACAGAATAAGGCACACAGAAGGGCCACTTACGTCGGAAGCTTTGAAGTTTATGTCACCCTGGCCGCCATCTTCCTAGCCAGTCGATTACATTTTCTGGCCAATAAACGCGCTGTATTGGCTGAAGGCCCCGCCTTCTGGCCAGTCAACTGCATGTTTTTGCATAGAAAAATGGCGACACGTTGCACCGCTGAGTGGCCCTTCTGGTACTGATCGTTATTCTGTGCAGCCGGGCTGCACTATAATTTAAAAAATTATTTGAATTGAGTGTCATCAATTTTACATTGGCCCATATAGAATATAAAGACTTACAAGCACTTGCCATTGTCCTAGCCAGAGGAGAGGCTGTCTCTAGGAGAGGCTGTCTCTTGAAAACATTAAATATGGTGGCTTCCAATAGACTGCTTTGAAAACTTGGTAAACACTGGAGAAACATTCCTCTTTAATAACACCTTGTACAGCAATTCTGAAGCATTTTTTTACCCCTAGGAATCTTAGGTTAGGGTGCACTGCATGCATGCCATACTAGTGCTTGGATGTTTGCGTACGTACGTCCTCCCGAACAAATGCACTGTAGCTTCTAAGATATCATCTGGAGCATTTGCTGTTTTTAGGTTGTACTAGAAGCAGGTGATGCTTTGTATAATCCTCAGTTATGGTGGCATCAAGTGAGATCTTACGATTCTCCCAATATTGGGATCAGTTTATGGTTTGCACAGTTTACAACTGAATACAATGACTCAACTATAGATATTGTAAGTACAGTCATATTATATTGTATTGCTTCAATTAACCCATTGAGCACCAGTGCTCTTCCCTTCATGAGTAAAATCATCTGGTTTACATTAAGTTGAGTAAAAAAATTACAAATTGGTACTGGCTGTGCTTTGCAGCTCAAATCTCCAGCTGCATTGCTGCAAAAATTGCAATACAACTCAATGGGTTAACTCTGTAAGTGGCAATGCACCTTGACCTAGTACTCTGTCAAATGCCAGATGATTTTACTCATCAAGGGGTAGTGCTGTCACTCAATGAGTTACCAGATGTATAGTACAAGACAGGGCATGATAGTACAGGACAATACTGGTGCATAGTATTAGGGACCGGTCATTATTTTTTTTTTGGGGGGGGGGAGATGGCACCAAAGAAAATTGTTTTTCTTGGTAAACATTTTGCTAATCCAACCATTAAAAAGTCAATTATTTTTTTACCCAACCTCAAATATCAATTAAAAAATAAATACCCACCACCCCTGGCCAAAACCGTTACCAAAGAATACCATTCAGTTGTTGCACATGTCCTTTACTACTTCTGTGACATGAGTTTGATAACTGTTTGTGCAATTTTCTGCAGTCTAAAGTTTCATGTTGTCTGCAAGTATGCTCTCTTTGGGGACACAAAGGGACACATTTGCCTCAAGATTGACAAATCGGAAAATGATCAAAATAGTGTGACTCTGATTGATTTACATATTGAATGACTGTTGACATTGCTTTTTAGTCTTCAATATGTCATTGGAAATGACAACAAAGTTTTGTTTTTCATTTACCCAACCTTTTACTCACTCAGAATTTTGTTTACCCAACACTTTTCTCTTTGGTGTCACCCCCATAAATAATGACCACGCCCTTATTGTACAGTGCATCACACTATAATGTATACATCATTATTATAATTATTATCATCGTCATTATTATTATTTAGTAAATAAATACATTGTACAATACTTTTAGAAAATGGAAGAGGTTGCCAAACAAGCGGAATTATTTGAAGAATCTGTTAAGAGCTTTCCAGAAACTATTGCATGTCGGAGTCAGAATCTGCCGCTGGGGAAATTTTATTGGCCCGATGATAACAACTGGAATACGCCATCTTTGGAGAAATATAAAATGGGCATGAAGAAACTTAAAATGCTTTCAGGATGAGAGTAAGTGAGGACTTGGCAGAC